CACAAGCAGGGTAACAGCTGGCATTCTATGTGGATTTTGTACTTTTCCAAAAATCGTATCGATCCGGGACAGCCTCTGTACAACGCTTCCATAAACAAAGTTAATCTCCGATCTGTCCTTTATTTTTCTCAGGCTTACCAAATAACAAATGAGTCTGGGGGTTCTGTCAGGTCAAACTTACATTCCAACATTCCTTCTCTTTCAAACAATCCTGATTCTCCGCCCCCAGTCCTTCTTCCTAGGTAAACCTGTCATGGCGAGACGCCATTTTTTAACTGCGTCATAAAAAATTTCTTCCTTTCTCACCGTTCTGCAGTCTTTTCCCTTGTACTCCGTCCCACATAGTTCTTAAAATTCTGCCTATGATTCATAGAAACGCGACGATCTTGTTTCTATCTGGGGTGAAGGTTTATTAATATCACATCATGCAAAGAAAAAAAGAGTTTTTTCCTCCACCCCCCCTTCGTTCCAAACATACAGTCTCCTTATGGTGATTCATCAGAAGATTTACTTATCCATCCATCACTCCTAGTCGCAGGGATCCATTAATCAGCAGTCTTATCTTCGAGCTTTACTTGATGTATGTGCTTTCAGCTTCGTTTCCAATCGTATGTTTCCAATTATAATTCCAGCTGAAGCAACCAGCACGCGCTAATTGGAATCGGCGTCAGGAAGGTCTGACTTCACCGAGGGCCTTTGCCAAGTGTTCGGCACCCCATCACTCGTTTCAGGGGTGCATTGTGAACACAGCTGGCAGGGCAGTTCTCCTCCACATCCTGGAGGAGTTCAGGAAGGCTACATACTTCCCATAGTAGCCCCTTAGTACCTCGTATGGGTCAGAGAGATGTTATTGTCGGCCATCTTCCAACGCGCCACCTGGTGGCCCCTGCCTCTCCAGGGTTTCAGGATGAATGAACCAGGCATCTTCTGTTTGCAAGGTACATTCTCTACCAATTGATCTACACCCCTTGCCACGCAAGGTCAGATGAAACCCCGGCTTCATTGACCATGTGTTCAGATTTGTCCAGTGGCATAGCGTGCTGGTGGTGGGGGAACGGGACGACAAAATTATTAGGGATGCAAAATATCAACGCCCGGTGCTGCCACAATGCAGCTGCGCTCTTCCGTCGCTGGACTCTGTTGAAAACAGCTTCTCCATGAGACCAGGAAGTGAACCTCTCCAGACCAATGGAACGATTCTTCTTTTCTTATCTCTGCGTCTGCGATCTCTTGGGTGACGCGGGCATCATTAGGCAGCCGATTACACACACACATACTCTGTCCGTTTCCCTCCATAGCCCCGGGCTCTGGCAACCCACGCTACACCACTGGAATTGTCTGCAGGATGGCACGTCCGTTCCCACCCAAATCTGCAAACTAGCCAGAAACTGACCAGCACTTAGCTGTGATGGTTGCGGTTCTATTTTAGCCTGCTGTGGGCTTGAAACACTTCTGCAAAGCAATGGACTTCCTTCATTGAATGGCATAACAGGGCTCTGCATTTTTTCTTAAAAGCTGAAAGCTGGATAAAGCAGTAGAGGAAGGCAGTCGAGTATTTCCTGCTTCTCGAGACAGCATTCAGTTCCATCTCCAGCTAAATTTGGCTCGTGTCTGCTGCACAGATGCTCAAAGTGGTTCTGAGTGCAAGTGGGAAGATTCTCAAGGGACCATGTGATCCCAAAGAGAAGATTCAGATGTTCTCCCACCCCAAAGGTGCATAGCTGTCAACCGCCCCTTTTTTGGCGGGAAACTCCCTTATCCCAGCGCCGTGTCCCGCTGCTGTCCCTTATTGATGATGTCCCTTAAATTTCCCGGGTTTCAAAGAAAGCAGCTCCTCTCCCTCCCTCCCTCCCTGCTGGCCAGGGAGGAGGGAGGCTCCAACTGTGTTGCTTGGCTGCGTTGCTCACCCAATAAGGAGTCTAAGAACAACTGGGGGGTGGAGCTTGCATGCCTTGTGCCGATCAAATCGGCTGTGTTGCCTGGCGACTCGCCTTTGCTCAGCACTTCCCAGCGGAGAGGTGACGGTGGTTTTCCTTGCTGCATCCCCTTTGCCAGGTTGCTGCGCTGTGGGAACCACCGCTTGAGGCTTCGTTTGGCTGCTGGCTGGGCTTTCTGCCTTTGGCTCGGAGGAGCACAGAAATTGAACATACCTGTGCCTGGAAAATCCCTTATTTTGGCTGCTGATCCCTTATCTTCGAGGCTGCTGGTCCCTTATTTTCAAATCTGTAAGTTGACAGCTATGCAAAGGTGCCAACTCTACGGGGCCCTGGTCTCTTTGTGCACCCAATAAAATATTTACTCCCCCCACCCATATTTTCTCCTCCCCTCCATTCCGCCCTCCTTCCCTCGGGCAATCCCCCACTAAGCCGGGTACCGCTGTCCTTTCCTGGGTTAAAGGTAAAGGTACCCCTGGCCGTACGGGCCAGTCGTGACCGACTCTGGGGTTGCGCGCCCATCTCGCTTAAGAGGCCGGGGGCCAGCGCTGTCTGGAGACACTTCCGGGTCACATGGCCAGCGTGACGAAGCTGCTCTGGTGAGCCAGCACCAGCGCAGCACACGGAAACGCCGTTTACCTTCCCGCTATAAAGCAGTACCTATTTATCTACTTGCACTTAAGGGTGCTTTTGAACTGCTAGGTGGGCAGGAGCTGGGACCAAACAACGGGAGCTCACCCCGCTGCGGGGATTCGAACCGTCGACCATACGATCGGCAAGTCCTAGGCGCTGAGGTTTTACGCACAGTGCCACCCGCGTTTCCTGGGTTGCCTCCTGGCTTTTGGCACCATTTCTGAGTGTGTCTGAGCCGGAGCAGCCAGGGAAAGGCAGGCAGGTATTCGGGAGTGATGGCTGGCCACTAGGAGGCGGCGAACGGGCAGTGGGTGAGCAGCCAAAAACTTCTTGCATGTGGGTGAGGGGCGAGAGTCAGGCAGAGGAGATGGGGAGGTTTGCCTTTAAATCTCCCTCTGCTAAGCATGTAGACAAGACTTCACAACGAGTCTTTGAAAAGACACAACTGTTCCTTTTGCGACATTTCCCTGGCAAACCAACTTGCCGTTTCGTAAACCCAAGAAAAAAGCACACCAAGAGCTCTGGCCAATATCAGTTTCAGCAGTGGGAGTGGTCCCTACTCCCAAATCAATAATCAACTGTAACAAAAAATAATCCATTCAAAAGTATGTATTCTGACAAGGATTACAAACTCAAATAGAGATGTGAAGGTCTTAGTTTCAATCACTGAGCAGAAGTCAGAAGTCTGCTGAGATTGAAACTAAGACCATCACATCAAATCTGACTATGGACTAACATGAACTTATCTTTACTCATAAATTCTTATCTCTAATTCTGTAACGAATTATTGTGCTATACATATCCTTATGAGTTTCAGTTTGTAATCTCTGTTTGGGTTTATAATCTTAATTTGAGTTTGTATTTTTTTTTTTTTAAATAATTTTTTATTAAGGTTTTAAACAAAGAAAAAAGAAAAACAACACACACACACACAAAAATACAAAATTTAACAATAAAAACACAAAACATAACAATTAAAAACAAACTCTCTTTTCCATTCCCAATTTTAAATTACTTATTTTCTGGACTTCCTCATACCTCCCTCTTTTGTATTCCAATCTACATTATTTGTCCAGCAGTTTCTTTTCCACTTTTTTAAACCCAATCTTTAATTTAATAAAATATTAAAATATATAACTTCAACTTTTTTAAACATAATCCTTGTTCTTAATGTCATATACCTTTAAATTTTCCCTTTTATTATCAAATTTCCATTTCTTTAAACATCTTTAATCTTGATCTTTAATCTTAATCTATCCTTAACTTTAACCTATACAGCTGGAAACCACTTATTTTCAATCCAACATCACTCTAACATTCCTTAATTTTGCAGTGTTTCTGAAGATAGTCTTTGAATTTCTTCCAGTCTTCCTCCATCGACTCTTCTCCCTGGTCACGGATTCTGCCAGTCATTTCCGCCAATTCCATATAGTCCATAAGTTTCATCTGCCATTCCTCCAGCGTGGGAAGTTCTTGTGTCTTCCAATACTTTGCGATGAGTATTCTTGCTGCTGTTGTTGCATACATAAAGAAAGTTCTATCCTTTTTTAACACCATTTGGCCCACTATGCCCAGGAGAAAGGCCTCTGGTTTCTTGGGGAAGGTATACTTAAATACCTTTTTTAATTCATTATATATCATTTCCCAGAAAGCCTTAATCTTTGGGCACGTCCACCAAAGGTGAAAAAATGTACCTTCAGTTTCTTTACATTTCCAACATTTGTTATCGGGCAAGTGATAGATTTTCGCAAGCTTGACTGGGGTTATGTACCACCTGTATATCATTTTCATAATATTCTCTCTTAAGGCATTACATGCCGTAAATTTCATACCAGTGGTCCATAACTGTTCCCAGTCAGCAAACATAATGTTATGTCCTACGTCCTGTGCCCATTTAATCATAGCCGATTTTACCGTTTCATCTTGAGTATTCCATTTCAGCAGCAAGTTATACATTCTTGACAGATTCTTAGTACAGTGGTGCCCCGCAAGACGAACGCCTCGCAAGACGGAAAACCCGCTAGACGAAAGGGTTTTCCGGGTTGGAGGCGCTTCATAAACGAATTTCCCTATGGGCTTGCTTCGCAAGACGAAAGCCCATAGGGAAATCTCCGGGGACCTCTTTAAATGCTAGCGGTGGGGAGCAAAGCCTTCCCCCTCCGGCCTTCAGAAGAGGTCCAGGAAGGCTGGCGGGGGCCGAAGGCTTTGCTCCCCACCGCCAGCATTTTAAAAGCAGTCCGGGATAGCAGGGAAGCGCTTCCCGCTATCCCGGACGGCTTTTGAAGGCAGGAGAGGTCCGCGAAGCCTGGGCGCGCTGATCTCAGCGCGCGCAGGCTTCGGCATGCCGGCAACTCTCCGCAAGCAGCGGCAGCGCTGCCGCTGCTCGCGGAGAGGTCCGCGAGCCTTGGCTGGACAGCTTTTGAAGGCAGGTGGGGGACAGAGACTTTCGCCCCCGCCAACCTTCAGAAGAGGTCCAGGACCTCTTCTGAAGGCTGGCGGGGGCAAAGTCTTTGTCCCCCTGCCTGCCTTCCCAGGGGCTTTAAATTGCCCCGGACAGCGGAGAAGTCCTCCGCTGTCCCGGGCAATTTTAAATGCCGCCCGCCAGCATTTTAAGATCGCCCCGGACAGCGGAGAAGCCCTCCGCTGTCCCGGGTTTTTAAAATGCTGGGGTGGGTGGGAAGAAAAGCCCTTGTCCCCCCCAGCCTTCAGAAGAGGTCGGGGACAGACTGTCCCCGGACCTGGTCTGAAGTCGGCTTCCTAGGAACGCATTAATTGATTTTCAATGCATTCCTATGGGAAACCGTGCATCGCAAGACGAAAAACTCGCAAGAAGAAAAAACTTGCGGAACGAATTAATTTCGTCTTGCGAGGCACCACTGTATTGGGTTCTAACAATTCTGTTTCTAATTTTGATTTTTCCACCTGGAAGCCAATTTTCCTGTCTAATTTAAATGCCTCCATTATTTGATAATAATGAAGCCAGTCTCGCACTTTGTTTTTAGTTTTTCAAAACTCTGCAATTTCAGTCTATCTCCGTCTTGTTCCAAAATTTCCCAATATTTCGGCCATTTGACCTCCATATTGACCCTTTTCAAGGCTTTCGCTTCCATTGGTGACAGCCACCTTGGGGTTTTATTTTCTAGCAAATCCTTATATCTTATCCAAACATTAAATAGCGCTTTCCTGACAATGTGGTTTTAAATGCTTTGTGTGCTTTGACCTTATCATACCATAAATATGCATGCCATCCAAATACATTATTGAAACCTTCCAAATCCAAAATGTCAGTGTTTTCAAGAAGTAGCCATTCTTTCAACCAGCAAAAAGCTGCTGATTCATAATAAAGTTTGAGGTCTGGCAGGGCAAATCCACCTCTTTCCTTTGCATCTGTTAGTATTTTAAATTTTATTCTAGGTTTCTTGCCCTGCCAGACAAATTTAGAAATATCTTTCTGCCACCTCTTGAAACAGTCCATTTTGTCCACAATCTGCAAAGTTTGAAACAAAAACAACATTCTAGGCAATACATTCATTTTTATCGCAGCAATACGGCCTAGCAGTGAAAGCTTCAAGTTTGACCAAATTTCTAAATCTTTTTTCACTTCTGACCAACATTTTTCATAATTATCTTTAAATAAATTCCCATTTTTTGCTGTCATGTTAATCCCCAGGTATTTAACTTTCTTAACCACTGTTAACCCTGTCTCATTCTGAAACCTCTCTCTTTCAAACGGTGTTAAATTTTTCTCTAAAACCTTGGTTTTTGATTTGTTCAATTTAAATCCTGCCACTTGACCAAATTCTTGAATCAGTTCTAAAACCCTTTTTGTACTAGATTCTGGCTCCTGTAACGTCAATACTAAGTCATCTGCAAATGCTCTCAATTTATAGTGTTTAGTTCCGACCTGTATACCTTTAACCATCTGGTCCCTTCTAATCATATTCAGCAACACCTCCAGGACCGAAATAAAAGAAGAGGGGAAATTGGGCAACCTTGTCGTGTCCCTTTTTCAATTTTAAGTTCTTCCGTCACAACGTTATTTACAATTAGTTTAGCCTTTTGTTCTGAATAAATTGCACTTATACCATTCTCAAAACCTTGGCCTACCCCCATACCCTGAAGATTCTTCTTCATAAAATTCCAAGAAATATTGTCAAAGGCTTTCTCCGCGTCTACGAATATCAACACTGCTTTAGTGTTTATATTCACTTCTAGTTTTTCCAAAATATCAATTATATTCCTCAGATTATCAGACAAGTGTCTTCCTGGGAGAAAGCCCGCTTGGTCTTTATGAATCTCTTCCAACAGCACTTTTTAAATCTCTTCGCCAAAATATCTGCAAAAATTTTGTAATCCACATTAAGTAATGATATTGGGCGGTAGTTCTTTAGTTGTGTCTTTTCAGCCTCTGTTTTTGGTACAAGTGTAATATATGCTTCTTTCCACGACTCTGGTGCCCTCCTCCCCTCCATTATTTCGTTGCAGACCTCTTTCAATGGTTGAATTAGCCATTCTTTTAAAGATCTGTAGTATCTAGAGGTCAAGCCGTCTGGGCCTGGAGATTTACCCAGTTGCATGTTTTGAATGGCACCTTCTATTTCCTGTTCCGTTATTCTGTCATTCAAAATTAGTCTCTTTTCTTGAGATATTTTTGTAATCCATTTGTTTTCAAAAATTGGTCTAAGTCTGTTTCTTTCACAGGCCCTTGAGTGTATAGTCTTTTAAAATACTTCTGGAAACAACTTCTAATCTCTGCCGGGTTCTGTATATTCCTTCCATCCACCTCTAAATGCGTAATCGTATTTAACTTTTGTCTCTTTTTCATTTGCCATGCCAACAATTTACCACATTTATTAGCCGATTCAAAAGTCTTTTGTCTCATTTGTTTAATTTTCCATTCTATTTCCTGATTCATTATTTTCATATATTGTACTTGATATAACTTTAACTCTCTCAAAATCTCTTGAGATTTGGGATTTACTCGCAATCTTTTTTCACATTCATTCATTTTGTTCATAATTTTATCCTTCTTCTCATTTTGAGTTCTTTTCTTTATCGCGTTCTGTTGTATTAAGAACCCTCTCATAACAGCTTTACTTGCATCCCAGATTACTCTTTTCTCCACGTTGGAACTAAGATTTATCTCAAAGTAGTCTCTTAGAGTTTTTTGGGCCTTCTTAAGAAATTCTTCATCTCTAAATAAGGTGTCATTCATCTTCCATCTGAAGGAGCCAGTTGGCATTAGTCTCATTTCCATCTTAACAGCGTTATGGTCGGAGCAAATTTTCGGGCAGATTTCCACCTTTCTTGTCTTTGGTGCCATTCCTCTAGTTATCCAAATTTGGTCAATTCTTGTCCAAGTCATTTTGGCTTCAGAAAAGAAAGTTCCCTCTTTTGCCAAGGGGTTTCTAATTCTCCAAATATCCACTAAGTCCAAGTTGTCTGTCATATCAAAAAGGTTTTCGGTAGTCTACCATCTTTGGTGACTACCTGTCTTTGTGCCTTGTCCATGTAAGTAGATACCACTCCATTCATATCTCCCATCAAAATTATGTTGTAATCCATATGGTCCATCAAGGTCTCATGCAACTTCTTAAAAAATCGGATTTCCCATCATTTGGTGCGTAAACTCCTACAATCAAAAATTTTTCTCCTTGTGTTTGAATTTCAATTGCCACAAATCTTCCTTGGTCATCCTTGAAAACAAATTTTGGTGATAAATTGTCTTTTGCGTAGATCACAACCCCTCTCTTTTTAACTTTATCTGACGAAATAAATTCCTGACCAAGTCTTTTATTTATCAACAATTTCCTGTGTAATCTTGTTATATGTGTTTCTTGTAAACAAATTAGGTCTAATTGTTCCTTTTTTAATATATGAAATACTGACTTCCTCTTCTGAGGGGAATTCAAACCCCGGCAGTTCCATGTTAAAAGTTGCAGGGCCATGATGTTATTGTTTTAGTTCTCCTCCTACTGCACCTAGTGCCTGTTCCTCGTCCGTCGGTGGTATCCCTTCTTTCGAACGGTCTTTTGGTTCCGGAAATAGTTCTTTTTGTAAATCTTCTCCATGGTCCCTGTAAAATTTATCTTTATCGTCTTCTGATCTTATTTTCCTCTTCTTTCCTTTGTAACTAAAGGACAGGCCTTGGGGAAGTTCCCACCTGAAATTGATGTTGTTCCTTCTCAGCAGGATAACCAGGTCTTTGTATTTTGATCTGAGATCCAGAAGATATTTCGGAATATCTTTGAATATTTCCACCCTTTTCCGCTGGATTTCCAATGTCTTCTTGAAATGTAGGCCCAAAATCTTATCCCTCTCTTCTTTTGTTCTAAAGGTAATCAGGCAGTCTCTCACCTTCTTCTCTCCTCTTCTCCCAAGTCTAAAAGCATTTACTATTGTGAAACTGTCTTTTGCCAGTTCTGGGTCCCAAAAGTCCAAAAATTCCTGCGTGAGAAATTCAGCTAAATTGTCCTTTTCCACCTCTGGTACTGATCTGACCCGAAGATTCACTTGCTTCTCCCTCAAATCTATCATAGACAGAGTTAGTTTGTGGTCTTCCAATTGTTTATGCAATGTTGGTAATTCCTCTTGAACCTCCTTAACATCCGTAGCAGAA